TTCATGATAGCAGCCATTCTTTCTGGAGTGAAGTGGAATCTCAGCATTGTTTTCATTTGCATCTCTCGAATGACAGTGATGTTGAACATTTTTTCATGTATTTATTTGCTATTTCTACTTCTATGTCTGAGAAATGTCTGTTCATTTCAGATGTATGGGCTACAGTCTTTAAACGAAGGAAAAAAAAAAGACCCCCCCCCAAAAAAAACCCCAAAGCACCCTGTCACCTAGAATCTAGGGAACATAGCTTTCAAAAATTAAGGCAAAATAAGGACATTTTCTGATAGACACAATCTGAGAGAATTTAGTGCAACAGATTTTTACTACCAAAAAATACTAACGGAAGCTTATCAGGCTGCAGGAAAACATTACCAGATGGACACTCAGATTTATAAGAAAAAATGCAGAACACTAGACTATAGATAAATATAAAGCACAATTTTTTTCTTTAAAGGTTTAAAGGGAAAATTTGTCTTACAATGCAAAAATAGCACTGTATTGTGGGAGTCGTGAGATATAGAAGTAAAATATGACAAACAAAATAAAAGGGAGATGTTAAATGTTAATATATATTTGTGAGCTTTTATTAGTAGGGAAGTGGTTTAGTGTAATTTCAAGGTGGTCTATAGTAAATTAAAGTTGCATATATTAATCCCTAAAGCAGGGTATCTTAATCTCATCATTGTTGACATTTTGGGCCAGATAAATCTTTGTTAAGAGTGACTGTCCTGTAGGATTGTAGGATGCTTATTAGCATCCCTGGCTTTTCCTCTAGATGCCAGTTACACCTTCCTTTCCCGTGAGAACAGTGAAAAATTTCTTCATATATTGCCAAATGTCCCTTGGGGATCAATATTGCCCCCTGTTGAAAGCATCTGGCGCTAAAAGACACACAGTAAAGGGCACACACAGACACACACACACACACACACACACGTCAAATAGTTGTTGTTCAAAGCCAATACAATACATAAAAGGGAATATTAAAAGCAAGGACCTAAACAATAAGTTAACACAAAAGAAAGCACCAAACAAGAATAATAAAAAGAAAGGTCTGATGGCACAAGTGAAAAACAAATTGTAAGATAACAGACCAAACCAGTCATATAATTACCTTAAATGTAAATGAGCTAAGCACAGTAATGAAAAGGTAGGGATTTTTTCCAAACTGGTTAAGAAAGCAAGTCCCAGTTATATGTTGTTCACAAGAGATTCACTTTTCTTTTTCATTGTGAGGGATCAAACCCAGGGCCTAATGTACAGTAAGCAAGTGCTCTACTCCTGAGCTACACCCCCAGCCTGATAGTCACCTTTAATATAAAAACATGGATTTAAAAGTAAGTGCGGAAGCGAAATCACCATATGAACACTTATCAGAATCGTAGAACTGGTTTGATTTACTAACATCAGGCCACTTAGATGTCCATTCAGGGAGCATGACTAGTGATCAAGGGGAATATTTCCTTGTGATGAGATGGCATGTTAATCAGGAAGATGTAGCAATCCTGAATGTTATGTGCTCATGACGGACTCTGGGAGTCCAGCTGCCACGCTGGAAACTGGTGGAGAACTGGCAGGATCAGCTGACAGCTCCTGCTGAGCTCCCTGCTGGCAGTGAGGACAAGCTGCCAGCTATGTAAGCGAGGGCAGGTGGACCTTGTGGTCCAGAATTTTAGCTGATAGCCTATGAAGCAGAAGAACCACCTTGTTACTTGATACAATGGAGAAAAATAATACATTGTTCAAAGCCATTGTTCTAAGCCATTGAGTTTTAGATTATAACAGTAAAAATGGACACAATATCTAAATGTGAAAAGTAAAAACCAGCAACAAGAGCATGTTGTTTAGTGGTACAAAAGTCATAAATAAAGGAATCCATAAAAAATAAATTGGTTGTCTGTTTGATAAATTTACTTGCATATTTTACCTTGATACAAGTAAACATTTTTAAAAGATAAAAAAGAGAACTTACATAGTAATAAAAAATCTTGTAGAAGTTACCCAGGATTTAGTACCTAAAGATGAAATCATGAAAGAGCTTAATAGACTGGGGTATAGAATGGGCAGATATAAAAATAATTCTGAAGGAGAAGCGAATGCTTCTGAAGGAGAAGCTTGGGAAAATACGCAAGGAAAGAACATCTGAAGTATCAGTATATGATGAGATATGAATCTTCTGATTCAGAAAATATAATTTTAAAATTAATTTTATTGGTACATTTTAGGTATACAATATAATGACTTTCATCATTGGAAATTTGTACCCCTTTTTTTTTTTTGGTACCAGGGATCGAACTCGGGACCTTGTGCTTGCAAGGCAGGTGGCAGAACCACTGAGCTAAATCCCCAGCAGAAATTTGTACCTTTACATAATCCATCTTGGTTCTTATTTTTGCCCCATTCCTCTGCCCTCCCTTCAACCCCTCTACCCTTCCCTATTTACAAAGACTTTGTTTCCTTTTTTCCTTTTCTCGTATTAATTCTATTCCCTTTGTTTCTTTCCCCTACCCCTCCCATTTCCCCTTCCTTTTTGGACCTTTTCTTCCTATTTCACATTATCTATTATTCCATTAGATCCTTATTTACACTTTCAGTTTCTCACACCAGAGAAACTAGTATTTACACGTGTGTCCTATTTATTTCACTTAAGAGTATCACCTCAACGTGCATCCATTTAGCTATAAATGTCTCTAATTTCCCAATCTTTATGGTTAATACTTTATTTTATTAAAAAAACACATTTTCTTTATCCATCTCCAGTTGATGGGCACTTGGGCTGTTTCCAAGCTTTAGCTATTACAAACTGTGCCGCTATAAACATG